GATTGGGCCAACAGTGGCGGCCACGGTGTAGCGGAACCAGTCGTGAAGGCGGTCGAGCATCGGGAGAAATCCCGGGTCCTTGGTGTGGTAGAAGTGGCACCAGTACTGTAATGTGGGATTCAGGTCGCGGGGGAGTTGTATGAGGGGAGTCAACGCGAGGTGCCTTGGGGATGACACTTGAAGTCGTGTAGAAATGTCGCTAGGCACGTCAATATTTGTGAATGTACTTGTCATAATTATCTCATTGTTTGCAGGATCAGTGATGTTTACTATGACCTGAATGGAAACCAAAACAAATTACAACTTGTCTTTATAATTTGAATCAACAAGAGAGACATTAATTTTATGCCCTTCAAAATTTAACCTATTGTGTATACCTTGGCAGCACTTGAAATGAGACCCACATGTGGAAGAGTACCAGCTGGAGTTTCCTGTCAAATAGAAGGTTAGGAACAAGTAATAACTCAGACAAAATGATTGTCATGAAGGATATAAAAAGACGATTAAAACTAATCTAGCTAAACAAGTTATTATGGAAAAGAAGGCTGAAAGAGGAGAAAAAGAGGCGGTCTGTATACTTCGGTAGCATTCAAATTTTGAGGTGGGCCTCCTTCTTGGGTGTGGGAAGCCCCAATTTGGACGGCTGCAGGAATGATGGGTTGGGCCTGTGATGGACTTGGTACTGTTGCTGTCACACCCTGGGTCCAAATAATTGACAACAAGAAAATCAACATATATGTATATATATATATAAGATAGGTTATAAATTTTCTCTAATAAAGTAACAGGACAATATTTGGGGTTGTAAATGTCAAATTTTTTATGTCAATGCTAAACTTTGGTATTTAGATAAGAAAGTTATTCTACAACACAATACTATATTTGATATCACATACATTATATTTGATGTCAAATTTACCATATGATATATTTGATGGAAAATTTAGTACCAAGTATAGCATATTCCAGATTTTGAAATCTAATATTTATTGTTTATTATGTTGACTTTCTTACTTACTATTTATGCCATCGTTATTTTTAAACCATTTAATAATTAACAATTTTCTTTTAGTAGTTCTTATACATAAAAGAATAATGTTATGGACACCAAATTAAATTCTAACTCTTGTATACCAAATAATGTGGCATGTAAGTTGTCATTTTTCTATTGGTGGGTGGAGAAATGCTAAGGATACTCTTTCTGTCACTCTCTTTGCCACCCTCTCCACTCATTATTTGACACATAGTTTTCAATATCTTATTTTCTATTTAAATAATAATATACCATATTAGTAGAGTCTACGTGTCAAACAGTGAGTGGAGAGAGTGACAGAAAGAGTGTTGCTAGCATTTCTCGGGTGGATGTTTAAAATATTGCCATATCAATGAATGAAAGAGATTACATCTACTAATAAAAAGATGGACAACTCACGTGCCACATTAGTTAGTATACAAAAGCTATGATTTGAGTTGGTTTTTCTAGCATTACTCATACCTAAAATTATGATAACAAGTAAATGCAACATTTAAAATAACATTTTATATTTGCTCCAAAAAGAAATATAACATTATATATGTTTTGGAGCACAAGTTAAATATTCCCTTTTTTTTTTGTACTCCTATGCTGAATATAGCAACGGCATTAGAGCAACTCCATCTATACTAGCCATTTCATTTGTTAGCTAAAATGGCTAATGATTTAGCTTTTGTCTTTTCTCCACTCTAACCATTAGCTAAATGGCTAACTATTTTGGAAAATACATTTCACACTAGCTAAATATAGATAGCAAGAAGTGGCTAGCTATTTATTTTTTATATTATTTTATTCTTTCAAATCACAATAAATACAAATGTTTTTTTAAATTAAATAAATTATTCACATTAAAATATTCTATGTTTAACTAAAATAGAGAGTATGGTTGAGTGACTCACCAAAAAATTGCTAGCTAAAATTGTTTTCTAGTCATTTTAGTTAAAATTTAGAAAGTGCACTTAGAGATGCTCTTAGTATTTTCATTCCTACAAACTCAGGTTAAAAATAGCAAGAAAGCAACGTGTCACAGAAAAATATAGTTAAAACCAGGCATTTAATGACATAATTACCCTAATTATCAGCCATCATATGATCACATATTCATTGTTATATATGATATCGTCGCCGTTAAATTACTCGTAAAAGGGTCAAAAGGTACACAGGCGTGATATATATGTGTGTGTTTATATATATCTCAAAAATACACAGAAAGAACATAAATAAAAAAAATGGAAAAATAAACCGTTCAAAAAAATGGAAAAATAAAAATAGGTGAGAAAAATAAAGAAATTAAATAATTTAATCTGCTCGCAAATAATATTTAATCATTCAGTACATAAGAGTAGAACTGGCAGATCATTTAATCAAC